TGTGGCGCAGGGCGTGCCGGTGTCGGGGTACCGGTGGTGCCCCGCGTCCCTGCCCGGTGTCCCGGCCCCTCGGAGGGGCCGCCCGGCGCCCCCCGCCCCGCCCTGCCTGCATCTCACGGCGGTTTCCGCTTTGTTTGGTGTTTTAGGTGACGTGCATCGAGGTGGTTGAGGCGTACGTGGAGAGGACCAAGGAGGTCAATCCACTCATCAACGCCGTCGTTAAGGACCGGTAAGCCGGGGAGGAGAGGGGACGGTTGGCTGCTGCCGCCGCAGCCTTCCTCCGGGCCTCCCCCCGCCTTCCCAGGCCAGGGTGCTGCATCGCACCAGGGGGCACAGCGATGGCAATACTGTGACGGTGCCGGGAGTTCCCGGCCGGGTGTGGAAGCAGCTGGTTCTTGCAAATACCGTGAAGAGCCGGGGAAGGCTCATCTTCCATTGCCAACTCCTGCTGTGCACTTAGTGTCTGCCCGCCCTGCAGGGATACCTGCTCCTTGCCGGTTCTTTGAGACCATTCCCACCGGTTGCTTCTTTGCAGGTTTGAGGAGGCCCTGCAGGAAGCCCGGCAGGTCGATAAGCTGCTTTCGGAGGGCCCTGGCGATGACTACCTGGAGGAGAAGTTCCCCTTGTTAGGGGTTCCCATCACCGTCAAGGAGGCCTTTTCTTTGCACGGTGCGTTTGCCCTTGCTACTCTGCAGCTTTGCAGCTGGTGACTTGCTCCCTCTTGGCCATGTGCTCCACAGGGCAGGGTGCTTGGAGAGAAGCAGCTTCCCTTTGCCAGTCTGCACCCCCCTCTGCCTGGATTCGCATGTCTGTTTTCGCTTTTAACGCCCAAATGCTGTGGGGGTTGTGGTGCCTCAGAGAAGCAGCCCTCGCTGGGGATCTGCTCCTCACAGACATGGTCCCTGTGACCTGCTGCCCCCAGGGTAATCTCAGGGAAGCTGGTCCTGACACCTCCCTCCATCTGTCAACCTTGGCACTACAGGGATGCCCAACACGTCTGGCTTGGTCAACCGCCGCAATGTGATTGCCACCTCGGATGCCACAGTGGTGTCCCGGCTGAAGCAGGCCGGTGCCATCCCGCTGGGGGTGACCAACTGCAGCGAGCTGTGCATGTGGTACGAGTCCAGCAACAGGGTCTACGGCCGGACCAACAACCCCTACGACCTGCAGAGGATCGTGGGTGGCAGCTCAGGTGAGCTCCAGCACCTCAGCATGGTCCTACATGAGCAGCAAGTTAAAATGCAGCAACAAAAGAGTTCCCAAGTCCTCTGCACACTGTTTTAACTTTTTGTTGGGTTTCTGCAGAGCTGACGGGCCTCTTTCCCGGGCAGTGCAGTAGGCCATTTGGAGGTTGAACTGCACTGCACCTCCCAGATGTTACACCCAGCACCACTTTGACTCACTCTGTCTCACTCTATGTGCAAACAGCAGTGCTGGTGTAGCACTTTGACAGGGAAATCCCTTTGGCCCCACATTCCCCAGCTGTATCTCAGACATCACTAAAGCTGGGGCGACTCTCACCCCATCTGAATGCAAAGGGAAGTGACCACTGTGAGATGCTCCTACTTTACTGGATGATTTGCACTATAAACCTGTGGGGTTTTGTGCTGTATTTTCTCCCATGCAGGTGGGGAGGGCAGTGCCCTGGCAGCTGCCTGCTCCGTCATAGGTGTGGGCTCCGACATTGGTGGCAGCATCCGGATGCCTGCCTTCTTCAATGGAGTCTTTGGCCATAAACCCACGACAGGTAAAGCAGGCGTGGGGATCTCTCCTCACCAGCAGAAATGCCAGGAGGTGGAATGTGAGGTGTGGGAGGAACATATTTGGGACACTCCTGTGCTTGTGGCTGGTGGGATTGCTGTAAGGGGACAGGCAACTTCTTGCACGGGACAAGCCTGCTGTGTGGGCACAACCTGGCTTTGGCAGTGGGAAGCTGTTTTGTGGCAGAATGCCAAGTGCATGGAGGTGGGAGGGATTTTACCCCTGGTATTGCATTCTCAGCGTGGGATGTTTTCCCAAGGTCAGGATCTGCTGCTGGGGCGTTTCCCTGGCAGGTGGTGTCTTAGCTGGGTGCTTTTCCTCCTCTCCCCACCCCATGTACCTTGCCATCAGCTTGCAAGCGCTGCTGATGTGTGCAGTCCCAGGTGTCAGCTTCCCCCGGACATGGAAGCCACTCTCCTGCAGGGCTTGCCCCGGCTGGAGGCGATGCTCGGGGGTGCTCGTGGGGTGGTACCCAGCATCTCCCTCTGTGCTCTCAGGGGTGGTGCCCAACGACGGCCAGTTCCCAAATGCTCGAGGGGTGCGGACCAGCTTCCTGTGCACGGGGCCCATGTGCCGCTACGCGGAGGACCTGGAGCCTATGCTGAGGGTCATGGCTGGTCCTGGAGTCAACAAGTAAGTTGTTCCTACTGCTTCAAGCTGCTGAATTGGTCTCAGCTACTTTCTGGCCAGAGCAGCGAGTTAGTCCTCTTTGATACAAGACACATCTGCACCACGCAAATTGGTTGTTACAGATTTCCTTCCTTCACACCGGCTTCAGCAGGACCCTTGCAGCCAGGGCTGTCCTTCCCACCACCCCCATGCCGCCTGTTTGAGCAGCTCTGGGGAAGAGGCAGCTGTGGTCAGCTGGATCTTCCTCACGGGAAGATTTTACCTGTGAGCTGCTCCAGTCAGCGCTGTCCAGCACAGCCCTTCCCTCTTGGGGCTGGCATTTCTTTGGGGTTTTCCATGTGCTTTTTCCTGTTCCTGAATGAGTTTCCATCCCACACCGTGGCCCCATTTGGTCTCTTCATAGGTCTGTGCAACCAAGCGGTCTTTTATGTGTATGTACCAGTAAGGAGCGGAGATGGGGTGGGGTGGACCGGGCAGGTCCTGCTTCTCACTGCAGCCTGCACATGGTTACTTTCTCTGTTATCACTTTAATTTCTCCATGGCTCTTGGGCAATACCAACCTTGGCCATGGTCAGTGTCTGTAATTACAAGGTGCAATAAATACGGAAAACTAGCTGGGACTGATAGGGCAGTGAGCAGCTGGATGGGTTGTGGACAGCAAGTGTCTGTCTTCAGGGACTCTCCTTCCCCCCGTGGTGGGTAGAGCAGGGTGTCCTGAGGGCACATTAACAAGTGTGTGAGCAGCTCTGGCAGCTGGGGAGGAGCCAGGGATGGGCTTGTGAGCAAAGTACTCTTCCTTTCCCAGGCTGAAGCTGGATGAAAAGGTGTCACTGGAGAAAATAAAATTTCACTGCATGGATCATGACGGCGGGTCCATTTTTGTATCACCTGTGGACAAGGAGATCTTGCAGGCTCAAAAAAAGGTATGAAGGAATGGAGGTCAGCTTTCACTGGGGTGATCCTGGAGATAAAACCTGGGGAGACTAGTTCAAGGAGTCTCTTGGAGGTGAGATGAGCTGCTCTGTGTGTGGCTTCTGCAGAGGCTGGTGGGATGGAGGGCTGCAGCACCGCAGAGGCAGCCTTGAGCCCTGGTCCTGTGCTTCCAGTGGAAAAAAAAGTGGAAAGATCTTTTTCTGTGTTAAGAAACAAGGAGAAAATCTTGTGAGTGGCTGCAGATGCCCTTGCAGCAGCACTCATGTTGGAGTGCACCAGGGTGTCCAAAGTTTTTGGACCAATTTCCATTGCAGTAGCTGTATTTTGTTTTCTTGACATCTCTTGTCTATGTTATGGAGACCTTCTGGCAGCACATCGCATGGCAAAGAGATGGCTGTGAGTTTGCAGTCTTCCTGGGGTTGCTGCCTGGCATTTAGTCATACAAAGGAACTTTCTTGTTTTTCAATGAAATTTTCTGTGCTGCTCTTCTGGAACATCACTGGGGGTGGTGTGGAGGGCTGCTTGGGGAACTCCAAAATTGTTATTGGATAGAAGAGGTCCTGCTGCTCAGGGCGAAGAGGAGCAGGCAGGAGCTGCAGCAGGATCACCTGCACAGCAGCAGAGAGTGCTGCTCCTGGGCTCTCTTCCCGTCCCTGCTTTCCGTGACTGCAGCGCATCGCATCCTTGTGGAAACAAACCCTTCCTGCTCTTCCCCTTAGGTGGTGGAGCACCTTGAAGGCAAGCTGGGGGTCCAAGTTCAGCGCGTGTCCATCCACAAGATGAAGTATTCTTTCCAGATCTGGTCAGCCATGATGTCGTCCAAGGACAGTGATGGGCAGGTGTGTCAGACTGAGCTAGCAAAGGCACAAATTCTATGGCAGCAGGGAAGAATTGGCTGTTTGGGGCCAGCTGTGGAGATCTGTAGGATTCCCAGACCTGATCAGGGGCTTTCTCTGCTCCATTTTTTCCCCCTGTCCTCCTTTCATCTCTCTCTAAAGCTACACAGTGCCTTCTCCCTTGGTTTCCCATGAGATAATGATGGGGCTCCCACCAGAGGAGCAACATGGTTGAGGGAGGGAGAGGCCTTTTTAACATCTTGTTGACCTTTTCTGTGCAAGTTGGTAAGTCAGCCAAGCAGGTAGTGTCCTGCCTTGCTCTTACGTCTGTGCTGTGCCTCCTGACTTTGTAGGTTGTGATTAATACCCATTAGGATGTCAGGACCGAGGTGGTCGATTAGTAGCTTTTCAGCAGCAGGCCTGCATGTTTATTTGTTCCTTGAATTGTAGCCACTGCGCCATGCTCTATACCTGCAATGAAGTATTTTGTAGCAAAAATAAACTCTCAGGAGTGTTATACCTTGTGCATTCTGCCATGCAGGCAGCTGTGAAAAGTAAGCCATCCCCATCCTTCTAAGAAGAGCATGTCTGGCCTCCTCTGCTTTTTTTTCCTGATCCCACAGCCATGTAACAGCATTAAATGCCTCAGGAGACATTATCTGGAGCATCATCCCTTGCATCATGTCAGAGGAAGGGTACTGAAAGAGCTTTTTGGAGCTCTGCCTCCACAGAGCAAGGTCCCCTTCTCTGGCTGGGAAAGATGCTCTTGCAGTTGCTCTGGATTAGTGCTAGAGCTGTGTAACACTCCTGACAGGCATCTCTTGTCTGAAAATTGGAACAGCTTGCGTCAGGATAATTGGACAGCTGGAGATTTCGCTGTCGTTTGTCAGCCTGTTCTTCCCTGTTGCGCACTAGTCAGTCGTGCTGATGGAGGGAGTGTGTGTGTGTGTGTGTGTGTGTGTGTGTTACAGGAGGCACAGCTATTCACGGACCTGCTGGGGGATCACGGAAAACCAGTATGGCCACTGTGGGAGCTGATGAAGTGGCTTGTGGGGATGTCTTCCCACACTCTTCCAGCTATTGGTAAGGAGCCACAGGGTGTGTGGAGGCAGTGGTGGGGCGGGTGAGTTGTTAAATGAAAATAGCGTCCTTCCAGTGCTCCACGAAGGGACTCTAGAGTTTGCACTGGACAGCTTCAGATGGGTTTTTTGTAATGACATTTGGTGCATTCGAGTCAAACACATGCTCAAGGGGGAGTTGACTGGATCTTTGACAAAGGGGATTGTGTATCCTGGGAGAAGTGAAGACAGTGGAGCTGCAGGTGGGGATTGCTCCTGCTGTGAGCCCTGTCAGAGCTGCTGGGGCTTATATGGAGCCAGTCGGGGATCTGCACCGATCTCATTTCTTAGCAGCAGATACCAGAGAACTCTAATTAGTGCTGACGTGCTGCTGTCTAATGAGTGCTGATGTCACTCTGCCAGCTCTGCTCAATCCAAGTGGCTGGAAAAAATAGAAGCAACGGGCAGGCTGAAAGCCGTTCTCTTGGCAAAGCTGGAGGGATGTTGCTGGCTGGAGGGGGGACTTGAGGGGCCCCACTAGGAGATGAAGGATGCAGGCAATGTGCTTTCTAGCCTGCTTCACCTGTGATCTGTTCACTCACTCTCTGTTTCTATTTGTATCCTTGTCCTGCAGCCCTTGGGCTGACAGAGAAGCTGATGAAACTCAACCCTGGTGGTAATGCCAAGCTGGTGAGCATGGGGAAGAGCCTGCAGGAGGAGATGGAGGCCTTGCTGGGGCCAGATGGAGTTCTCCTCTACCCCTCCCACCCCACCATAGCTCCCAGGCACCACTCCCCCATATGCATGCCCTTCAACTTCGCCTACACAGGTGAGCTGCTCTGACTCGCTGCTGGGGTGCAGGCAGGGGTTGCAGGCATGCCCTCACCCACTGCGGCAGTGCAGGCTGGGAGTCAGGGTGTTTTACCCAGAGTATCTCCATCGCTGACAGTGGGCTTTGCAGTGCAGAGGGGTGTCTCGCTGCTCCAGAACGTGGGACAAGGATTATGGTCATGCTTTAAAACTGTGGCATTTACACCTGCTGTCCACAGCAGGGCAGGTTTGATCTCAGTGCGGGGGGCTCATGCTGTGGTTTAGCAGGCACTCAGGAGCTGCTGCATTTGTTGAGATACAGTTTGAGGCTCTCTATGTGGCTTTCCCACAGCTTGAGTGTCTTGATGACAGTGCTGTGTTGCAATGCTGTCTGGCTTTGGAGTAATGGAAGGATGGTGCCTGGGGCAGGAATGTCCCAAAGCAGATTGTGGCATGCCACAGCGAGTGCCACATAAGTGTGTCATCACTCATGGGTGCAATTTTCATATGTGATATGCGTGCTGGGAACCTCTAGCCCACAATGTCCCCTTGTCATCATGTCTCTGCACTGCCTACCTTGACAGCACGGCTCCAGCAAGGACCAGCTCCCAGGAGCCTGGTGCTGTGCATGGCAGCAGCTACCTACCTGGGGTGGGAGAGCCAGGCAGTGATGTGTCCCAGTTGCTGTGCTTGCTCTGACGCAGCCTTCTCTCTTCCAGCTATCTTCAACGTCCTGGGCTTGCCAGTGACGCAGTGCCCACTGGGCCTGAGCAGCGAGGGCTTGCCACTGGGCATACAGCTGGTGGCTGCCTCCTACAATGACCACCTGACGCTGGCGGTAGCCCGGTATCTGGAAGAGGCCTTTGGAGGATGGGTTTTGCCTGGGAAAGTTTAACCTGGGCTCCTGGCACTGCAGGGAGGCAGGGATGGAGATGGTGGTACCCAGGCGGGCGCTGATGCCTCATTCTGCCATAGCACTACCTGCTCCATCCACACCCTTCCTGGTGCCTTCCTGGGAGTGGCCGGCAGTGCCTCCAGCCCCTGGGGAAGCCGGGCTGTTGCCGGTGGAGTCGTATCCTCTCTGCAGCACCCTTTGCCCTGAGAGAGACCTGCCCTCCCTGTGGCCCTTTGGGAACCCCAGTGCCACAGGCTGGCAGTAGGCTGTCTGTGTCCTGCCTGTGGCAGGCATCTAGATTCTGGGCATGGAGATGGCATCTCTCTGTACACTTGCTGCTTTGAAGATGCTGAGTGAAGGCTGGGGAGAGGAGGTGCTGCCAGACTGCTTGGGGACAACTGCCCAGAACCACCCTTGGAGCCCCTGGGTGCATCCATCCTCTTTGGCCTTGCCTTGCCCACAGGACTGGGACTGCACCTGGTGCACCACAGGCTTGCCAGCCTCTGAAACCTCCTTGAGCTGCTACAGGGTTTCACACACCCTCTAACCAAAAGGGAGAGGGGCTGAGGGTGCTGGAGGCAGCCGTATGCTTGTATCACTGGGGGTGCTTTGTGGAGTGGATGGTGCTGGACTCTACCTCGCCTGGAGCTGATGGGCAAGGGAGAAGGAGCTTTTGCTCTTGCGAGCTTTTGACAGCACTGGAAGAGCTCTTTAAATGCTCCTCTGCATGTGCTGAGACAGCTAAAGCATCTCCTGCCTGTGTCTTCTTCCCCTTCTGTCCCAGAGGATCACCCAGCCTGATTGGTGTCCCCTGCCGCCCGCCCTCCCTGGCCTCCCTGCTCCCACGAGCAGTCTCAGGCAGAAACGTGGGCAGCTGGCTGTTCCTGGGGCAGACAACAAGTGTAAGATGTTTTCAGTGAGGGTGGTATTAAAGTCTGTCCAGTTTTCTGCCGGCTGGTTTCCTTGTTCCCAATGACTGTGCCATGCCAACTGCAGGGCTGCTGATGCTCTGGCACCTGCCCTAGCACCACTCGTGCTGTGGGATGTGCTGAGGCTGGTGAATGCTGCTGGCTATGGGCATGGTGCAGGGACAGCAGGGAAGGGGCTGGCATCTGCCCCAAGGGTGGCACCGCTGCCAGGCTCTTGCATTAAAATGCCTGGACTCGCGGTGTCTGCTCAGCTCCTGGCAGAGCTGAAGGGAGCCAGCGAGCTCTGGTGGTGCCACAGTCGATGGCTCTGTTAGACGTGTGGTGGTCACACAGCGTTACACTCTTGAAAGGCATAAGCCCTGCTTCTTTCTCTCCCCAATGGGCTGCTAAAGGCTTGGGGCTTCTAGGGTGATGCGGAGCCACGTGCAGGTTCCTTGGGGTCTAGGGCAGAGCAGGGCACAGCGTCCCCGTCTGCACTCAGCCTGCAGCGCTGATGTTGCCAAGGATAAAGCCTGCTGTTGGCTTTGTGGGGATGTCCTGCCACGTGTCACTCACTCCTGGTCCTGGCCTGATCCCTGTGCTGCTGTCTTCTGTCCCTAAACACTATTCATCCCTGCAAGGGGGGATGTGGCTGCTGGGGCCAGGCTGTGTCTCGCCACTTGCTCACAGAGGGCACTGCTGAGCCGGCTAAGGGCAGCCAGCCCGCGGAGCCTGCAGCCAGATGAGACACCGTCAACAAGGAAGGAGGAAAGAAAACCAACCTGACCCAGGAAAAAGGGCACGAATCAACAAATCCAAATCACATGCCGTGGGACGTCTCCCACAGCCTCCCAGCACCGTGGCACAGAGGACGCAGGCCTGTCTCCCAACTGGAAAGAGTGAGCTGGGCAGACCCTGCTGATGCTTCCAGCAAATGCTCGTGGAGTCTAACGTGGGATTGCTGAGCTGAAGGTGGCTGTGCTTAACAGCGTGGTGGGCACAGACGGCAACACCGTGTTTGCTCTAGCAGGTTCCTGTTATGGCAAGCGCCAGATGAGCCACTGCGTGGCCCAAGGTAGGGGCGACCATCGGTGCTTCAGGGTGGTGTGGCAATGGGGGAGGAAGGCGAGGGGATGGATGTCTGGAAGATAGAGGGTTTGATGTCTGCAGTCTCAGCGAACAGGATAGCCACTAAACTATCTTTTTACAGAAACCACAACATGGTGAGGAGTGCTGGGGTTTTCTCTCTGTCCAAGATGGATGGGGAGTGTGTGTGCTGGGTCAGCAGGGTGCTGACAGGGATCATGCTGCGGCCACCATCGCCACTGCAAAAGCACTGGTCCCCTGCTTGCTGCCATCTCCTGTGGCAGGAGCAGCCCTGTCCCTGCAGACAGGCACCTGGGTCCCAGGGTCTCCCTAGGGAGCCGAGTTGCTGCTCTGCACCTCCACAAGTCCGGGGAGCGGTGCTGGGGGCCCTTTCTCCCTCTGTGGAGAAATACCTGCTGTCTTTGCCAGAGGCCTGCTGCAAATCCAGGAGGGCTTGTGCTGTCAAGGGGGCAGGGGAAAGCCATAAACCCACTGCCTGCACTTCAGCTCTGGCATTTTGGAGGTCTTGCCTTGGGGCTCGGAGCCCTTGCCCACACTTTGCATCTGCCTATCCCCACTTGCTGGCTGCCTCTTCCTGTTTCCAGCTCTGAAAGATTGCAGGGGACAGAAAACATGGGGAAAGCATTTTATACACGCCTGCCAAGGTGAACATGCTCATAATGTTAATGCAGACTCAGTATAAAATGAGAAGAGCGAGAGGCAAGGGGTTGGGGGTAAGCCAGCCCTATGATGTCCAGTGCAGTCAGGGAGATGGTTCCACCCATCTGCCTCTGAAGGTGGCCCCAGGCTTTCCACCTTCACCAAGGGACATGTCCCCATGACTGGGAGCTCAGAGTTGGTGGTCTCAAAGCCCTTGCCCTGAAGAGCAAGGTTCCCTCCATAGCTGGGAAGAGCAAGGAAAAAAAAAAATCACCTGTAGTTAAGTGGTGGGGCAAGGCCAAGGAATTACTGGCCAGGTTTCAAAGAGAGGAAGGCAGTGGGGTGGTAACATGGCACAGCACTGCCCCGGCATCCCCCTGGGGACTGTGCAGGGGCATGACACGTGTGCCTGGTACCAGCCTCCGCTGTGGCTCATGCAGACTGCAGTCTCTATGTGGGGCACAGCACCCCAAGGGGGTGCCTCAGGGTGCTTTGTTTTGCCTGGCTGGGTACCAACATGCTGGTACCCTTACTGTCCCGTGGAGGCTGCGGGAGGGCTGGGAGTGTCACAGCAGCAGTTTCACCGGTTGTGCCAGTGTGAGTCATGCCTGGAGCAGGGCTGAGTCACTGCCAGAGCGGTGTGAGCATCACGCCAGAGCTTTCTCAGACCCTCGTCCCTGTGACACCATCAGTGTGACTTCTTGCTGCCTTTAGGGAGGGATGAAACACCACGGGGGACCAGCTAGAGGTGGGTGCAGCAGAAGGTCTCTGCAGCATGTGCATTGGGGCCACTCCTGTTTAACATCTTTATTGATGATCTAGACGAGGGGATCGAGTGCACCCTCAGTTTGCAGATGAAACCCAGTTGGGTGGGAGTTTTGATCTGCTCGAGGGTAGGGAGGCTCTGCAGAGAGACCTGGACAGGCTGGAGCCATGGGCTGAGGCCAACTGGGGGAGTTTCAATAAGGACAAATGCCGGGGGCTGCCCTTGGGCCACAACAACCCCCAGCAGCGCTACAGGCTTGGGGAGGAGTGGCTGGAGAGCTGCCAGTCAGAGAGGGACCTGGGGGGGTTGATTGACAGCTGGCTGAACAGGAGCCAGCAGTGTACCCAGGGGGCCAAGAAGGCCAATGGCATCCTGGCTTGTTCAGAAACGGTGTGGCCAGCAGGGACAGGGAAGGGATCTTACCCCTGTACTCGGCACTGGTGAGGCTGCACCTCGATTACGGGGTTCAGTTTTGGGCCCCTCACTACAAAAAGGACATTGAATGACTCGAGCGTGTCCAGAGAAGGGTAATGAAGCTGGCACGGGGTCTGGAGCACAGGTTGTACAAGGAGCGGCTGAGGGAACTGGGGTTTTCGGTTTGGAGAAGAGGAGGCTGAGGGGAGACCTCCTGGCCCTCTACAGCTCCCTGAAAGGAGATTGCAGAGAGATGGGGATGAGTCTCTTTAACCAAGTAACAAGCGATAGGGCAAGAGGGAATGGCCTCAAGTTGCCCCAGGGAAGGTTTAGACTGGATATCAGGACGCATTTCTTTCCAGAACGGGTTGTTGGGCGTTGGAATGGGCTGCCCAGGGAGGTGGTGGAGTCCCCATCCCTGGAGGGGTTTAAGAGTTGGGTTGGCGTAGTGCTGAGGGATCTGGTAGAGTTGAGAATGGTCAGTGTGAGGTTAATGGTTGGGCTGGATGATCTTCAAGGTCTTTTCCAACTGAAATGATTCTGTGATTCTGTGCCATGTCAGAGTGTGGTAGCAGCCTACTGTCCCTGCGGGCCCTCTTGCCACCACAGCCCCAAGGGCACCTGCCCCGCTGCTGCTTCAGCCCATCCCAGGGGCAGCAAGGGTGTCTCCACTCTGCAGCTGGCACCTGCATGCCACGGCTGGACACACAGCCTCTGTGTGCAAGGCATACCTGCAGTGGGTGTCACTGGCCACAGCTTTGTAAAAAAAAAAAATAATTTCTCTAATCCCAGATTCCAGCTGCCTGTCGTGTTTGCTGGTGCCAGAACAACTCTGGCATGCCCATCCTCTCACCACCGCACCCTGCATGGCAACATAGAGCTGGGGGCAGATGGATAGGGTGCAGCGGGATGAGCCCTGCCCTGAGCCTGCTTCTGTTCCTGGCCAGCTGCACCCTGCTCCAGGGTAAGTCCAACGCTGAGCTGCCGCAGCAGGCTGGGGGCTGGCCCTGGCTGCAGTGGCGGGGAGAACCGCAGGGACAACTCTCAGACCTACAGAAGGTACCTTCCAGGCAGGAGGGGACCGAGTGATCTTCAAGGTGTGATAGGAAAGAAAACTCCAGAGTCACCAGCAGCCATGTCAGGGTGTCCGTGCCTTTTGTGGGACCACAGAGAGGATGCTCCAGCGTGTGCAGGAGCTTCATGGGATACAGGTGCTGAGCACTGTTCTGGTAGCCAGCACTTGCCTAAGCCTGGCAGGGAGTTAGTGTTTGCCTATGTGGGACTGAAGCTGGGAGTTGTAGGGTCGGAGGGAGGTTCCACAATGCCTACCCAAGGCCAGGATACCTGCCTGCGCAGCCTGGGCAAGTGGTGACTGACCAAGGAGTTGGGCCCCTTCAGAGCAGAGTGATGTGCTGCCTGATGTCCCTCTGCTTCCTCCCTCCCCAGGCACACTGTTGCCTCCACAGGATGTGAGGCTGGAGGCACAAAACTTCCACATCCATCTGCGGTGGGAACCGGCCCCTGGCTCGCCCAGTGGTACCACATACCAGGTGGAATGGAGGAGACGGTAAGTGAGGTGACGGGGATGAGGGGGCAGAGGTGGATCATCACCCCTGCACCCTGGCAGAGGGCTGTCAGGGACCCCCAGTAGCCAGAGGATTAATTTTTTTTTTCCCTTATGCTTAAACAGAATTTCCTGTATTTCAACCTGTGTCCTCTTCCTCTTGTCCTTTCATTGGGTACCGCCAAGAAGTCTCCATCTTCTTTATTTCACCACGTTGATAAGACCACCCACCCTAAGCTCCCCTCTTTTGAGGCTAAGCAGTCCCCACTCACTTAGCTTCCCTCATACCACCAATGCCTCAACCTCTTGGTGATGTTTTTGGCCCTTCAGTGGTCTCTCTCTGGTGTGGACATGCTTTTTCTGTAGCGGAGAGCACAGGTCAGGGTGCGGCACTCCAGGTGCCGTCCCACCAGTGCTGATGAGAGGGGACTTGACTTGCTGCCAAAGCTTTTCCTAATGCAACACAGGATGTTGTTGGCAAGCATTTGTGCTCTCCCGTGCTTTCCACAGACAGGATGGCGATGGCTAGGCAGCCTTCCTTTTTGGCTGGGAAGGTGCCAAAAAGGAGAAATCCCTGCATTTTCTCCATGGGCAGAATCCCTCACTGGACCAAGGCAGATACCTGCTGGGGGAACAGCACCGGCTCCTCCTGGGCATGTGAGCTGTATTTTGACAAGATCCATGATATCTACTGGGCAAGGGTGAGAGCGGTGGCCAGAGGCGAGCTGTCCAGGTGGGCCTATTCCAGCGAGCTGCAGCCATACAGAGACAGTAAGAACCAGAGAGTTCCTTCAGCTGGGCTCCTGCTCTTCCCAGGGGGGATGACAGGGAGAGGGGTCCTTGGAGAAGTGTACTGGGGCACAGTGGGAAATCTTATGAGGATACTAGAGGATACTAGTGGGAAAAGTGCCAAGAGCCATGACTGGAGGAAAGACATGGGAGCAGAGCTGCTGGAGAAGGGCTGGGTGAAGAGCAAGGGATCAGAGGAGTGAGGTAAGGACCACGGATAGGAGGCTCCAGAGACACCAACATGCTATGAGAATTTGGGTCGCAGGAGAATGCAGCGAGATGGGGTAGGAAAGAGGATACCCCCTCAGGCCTGCTTTTTAAAAGCATCCCCTGTTTGTCCCTGCCATGGATTTGGGAGATGCTGGGTGGGGGTATTTTTGTTCCAGCAGAATAAAGCTGGTACAGGCTAATGAAGGCAGGAGCAATCCCTCCATCACTGCTTTTGCCCTGACACGTTCTTCTTCTCAGTCACAGCCTGGCTGTCCCATCCAAAAAGCCTAGCTGTCTTTTGGAGGAAAGAAAAACTTTAGGACCTTCCCCTAACCCACCTCCCAGGGGGTTATCACAATGAGCTGAATGTGCCAGCAGCTAAAGTGGGATGTATGTTGGCTGTTTGGATTCCCTTTTTCATTCCCTCTGCATCCAGCTATCATGGAAATAGATGCACTTAGCTAAAAAAGCAATTGCTGCACTCTTTGAGTCTCTAGACCATTGTCTGATGGCTCAGAGATGAAGTGCTCAGCAGAAGGGAGCCAGAGGTGCTAGCAGGTCTGTCCTGGCCTGCGCTGGTGGGACTGGAGGGGGCAGAAGTAGTGCTGGCTGCCACAAAGACATGATGGCTGAGGTTTCTAGAGCTGGTTTCACAGCATGAAGTGCCATCACTCTAGATCTGAGGAAGAAGTGTCTGTGCTCTGGGAGTGGGATGTCCAGCAGAAAAACATTTCTAGAAAAACAAGATGCCTGCCTTCTGTTTTGAAGAGCTTAATTTTCCTCCTCCATATTTTTTTCCCTCCCTACAGCAATTGTGGGCCCCCCCAAGTTGTCCTGGCTGTTCCAGGATCACATCCTCAGCGTAAATATCATCATGCCACTCACTCCCTACCGAAGCAAAAACGGCTCTTACAAGCCAGTTGACCAAGTTCTGCTGAAGCTGTGGTACTGGCTGTGTCTGTACGAAGGGGATGTGCTCGTCCAGCAAGTACGTGGTGGGGTGGGCAGGGCTCAGAGTGCACGGGACTTGCAAAAGCTTTCCTGGTGCAGCAAAGATGCCCGTTTCCACTCACACTGGTGTGGTAGTGCCTGTGCCTGTAGTGTTGCCCCAGCCCTGCCCTCACCCAGCAGTGCAAGTAGGTGTGAGATGCTTGCATTCCCAGTTTGGGGCTTGCAACCTGGGGGTGGCAGGAGATCCCTCTCCTCCTCTAGATTACATGAATAAGAAAAACCTGTAACAATTTCCATTCATATGAAAGCATGTAGTAGGTGTTTAATGAGATGCTCTGGGAGCCGAACACTTCCTGGGGTGAAAAAAAAAAGCACTGGAGGTGCTTGAGGAGCAGAGAGGGAGGGTCTGTGCTCCACACCATGGAGCAAATGAGGTGTCAGGGCTGCACTGGGGAGAGAAGCAGCACACAGTCCCCACCTCCAGCCGCCTTGGTCACACATCCCCTCTGCTTCTAGGTGCCCTGCAAACAGAGTGGGGAGGAAGGGCCATGCACCTTCAGGTTCCTCAAGCCCAGCACACAGTACTGTGTCCGGACGGTGGCTGCGGACATGGCCAAGGAGCAGAGCCGGGAGGCTGAGCAGTGCATGGTGACACCAGCAGGCCCTGCAGGTGGGAGCTCACTTGCTGGTTTAGCTGCTGTGGTTGCATCTCAGGTCCTGCTTGTGGGATGGACACATGTGGAGGTGTGAGTGCCTCACCGCCTGAGCCATTCTGGTCAGGGTTGGTGGCCCAGTAACACCCTGTGGGGACCTGTTTTGGGGAGATGCTCTCTCGCCACCTGCATTGGGCTTGCACTGCATCCCCTTCTCGAACATCCCAGCCTGCCACGGGGGCTCTGGGGAAGTGTTGGCATAGGGCGGGCTAGGGGGGATACCACCTGGGGTCCTTCCACCCCTCAGCCTGTTGTGACCTCCTGGCAGGCTTTCCCTGGGTCGTCGTTGCTGTGCTGAGTGGTGTCTTCCTGCTGCTGAGCGTGGCCGGGCTCTGCTTTGTCCAGCTGTACGTCTTCCCCCGCCCCTCGGAGATGCAACTCCCCAAAATACTTGTGAGTGAACAGTCCCCTTCCAGCCTCTGCCCTGCATGTGCTGCAGCCAAGCTGGCGTCCTCTGCATTTGCAGAGGGCTCAGCACCTCCTTCATTCCACCCCTTGCACCACCAAACCTATCTCTGTGCCTGGGTCCCTCCCCTGCTGTCTGACCCACCATACCCTCAGGCCTTGCTGTGTGGGAGAGGATACTGGTGGGATGCATCAATCAGTCATGGGTCACACCAGAGGAGTCTCAGGCAGCACATAGCCTGCAAGCATGGCCCCCAGTGTTAGGATCCTCCTGCTTTAGGCAGTTGGCTTTTGCTAGGCTACATGCCCATCTACAACAGGTTGAAGAGAAGAAAGAGGGGAAGAGAAGCAAACAGTGGGCCTACTATCCCGGCACAGTCTGGCCTGGGTGAGGTACAGCCCCTCACCTCTCTGCCCTCGAGATAAATGCAGCCCTAAGGCTCAGAAAGGCTCCCAGGGCTGCAGCCCTGCTGAGCTGATCTCAAACATGTTCTGGGTTGGCAGGGACAGAGCCCTGTGGAAGCAGCCACTAGGACAGCCTTTCTCTCCAAGTCCCAGTTCCCCTCTGCATCCCAGTTTCCCAGTGCTGGGGGTGTGGCAGCAGCCAGGGCTGAGCAGCCCTTTGAGCTCTCTGGGAACAAAACCAACTTGCTAAGCTAAAGAAGTCTCCTATGCCAGCGTGGAGAGGAGGTGGCAGGCTGCTCCACTTGCCCTGGCCCAGATCAGGGTCAGAGTCCTTTGCTTTCCTATTCTTCTTGGCTTCTGCACAGGGATTGCTTGTCTCTGAGCAGGTGATAACTTTTCCATCAGCCTCTGACAGCTGGAGCATAGCTTGAAAAGCAGCAGCATTATAGCTTCTGTGACCATCTCCTCGTACCAGAGCCCCTGTGCTGTAGTGAGAAGAGCCCTGCCTTCATTTCTCCCCTGTGTGAGCACAGCAGATGGGCTGTCCAGGACCGTTCCCTTCCCCAGGGTTTGCAGTTCATCAACCCCAGGCTCACGGAGGTTTCAGCAAGCTGAGGCTGACTGCTTTGCTGCTTGTTTCCCAGCAGGCTCTCCTGAACAGGGACCTGAATGTGACCATCACGGTGCCCACCCTTGAGCTCAAGGAGGACTCACTCACCCTGCTCCTGCCGACATTGCTGCCCTCCCACGGAGCACCTGCAGCTGAGCAGACAACACCCACAGTGCAGCTGCTCCTTGGAGAAAGTCTTTCCCAGGACATGAGTGGCTACTGTGCCAACGGGTTTGGGCCAGACTGCTGCAAAGGAAGGGACCCATCCTGCACCCACAGCCAGCTGGGGCATGCCTTGGGCTCCTGGGTCTCACTGCAGCTGGAGGAGGATGGGAGGGCACATGATGGGGATGATGTGCTGGCGCAGCCGCTGCTGGTGGGACCGACCAGAGACAGCGGCACAGGTGACAGGGATTACCAGACATCTGAGACATGGCTCTCCCTGCACGTCCATCTTTATTCCAAATGCCAGTGCCCAGCCCCAGGAGCAGGCAGCTGTCTTCCTCTGCCCATACTGGGCAGGAGCTTCAGCCAGGAGGACCTGCAGGAGAGCCTTGGCATGGCAGGGCACTGGATTCCACTCAGCTCTGTGAAGCTGCCAGCCAGCAAGGACGAGAGTGGAGGGCAGCTTGTGCATGCTCTGCAGCCCCTGCATGGCCATGGGACTGAGCCACAGTCAGGTGACAGAACCACACAGCAGGGTGACTTGGAGGAGGCAGCATCAGACATTTCCCTCCCCAGCCCTTGCCAGCTGTCCCAGTTCCCCCCTGACATCCTACAGACAGCTGCCTTCTCTGGCTATGAGCCACGTCCCTGAGCTGACAGTCAGCCATAGCAAGCAGGTAGAGGCACGCCGGGAGCTCCCAGCACCTAGATGACAGCATTAAGGAGCTCGAGGTGCTGCCCAGAGCTGCCCCAGCCACGATGGCTGCCTGCTCAGACCTGCCTGTGCCTTGCTGGGGACAGGACTGGGGCAGGCTCGCATGCGGGCAGGCACAGGCACACTCTGGGCACGGCTGCCACGGATGGTGAGATCAGTATCTTCAGAGCTTCCGTCTGTGGTTTTGGTGCTCTTGAACCAAAGCATAAGGAATACGTGCCAAAGTTGAAGCCCCATAACTCTTATTTATTTATCCACCTATATTTGTGGGTATGTGTGTGTACAGTGTATATATATATATACTAATGCAAATATATGTATATACTCATATATATATATAAACACCTCTTTGATGAAGGAGGAGGTGTTTTTTTTTTTTTACTTGTCTGGAAATACTTATTGTGCCTGTTTAATGTTTTTTAAGCAACATTAATTTATTGTGGAAAACTGGCTTCTGTGCTTATTCTTTCTGTGTTACAGAACCAACAGTGCCCTGTCTGAGCAATGTTTGGGAAAGGCACTAGGAAAACTTGGGGGTTCTCTGGGAGAAAATTGTACCTGCAGCTGGTCTGCATGTTGCTGTCGTGTGGGAAAAAAGCTGGTTCTTCAGGAACCGTTGGAGAGTTTTATTACTCCTTCTACCAGCACTGGGGCAATTTACTTCTGAGGAGCCCTGCCCTGAAGTTGTCTCTCTGGGATGTGTTTGTGAGGCTGTGCCTGCAGCCACGGAGGTGAGGGGAAACCCTCTCTCCCAGTGTCAGGCTGCTGTGCTTTGCAGCGGGCTGAGATTGGGGGACTACAGCTCAGGGGGACAAATCCAGGCTCCTGGACTCATGAGATTTGGGAACAGGTGAGTAATTGGTGTCCAGCATCCAGGCATCTTGTGAAGGGGACAGGGGACAGCACTGCCAGCCTTGGGTAAAGCAGGGCCGTACAGGGCCACCTTCCAACCCCATGAGTCATCCCTGACACCCCAGCTGTGCAACCTCCTGGGGGTGGCTGTGCTCTCCCTCTGCCAGACTGTCAGCCTTCCTCTTCCCCTGCCACCACAGCTGACTCAGCCAGAGACCTGTAGCAACACCAGCTGTGGTTTTCTGGCACCTGAGCAGTGCTGTGGGGCAGCCCCGTTTGAGCGCTCCCAGCTTTGTCTCTGTTTCAAAGCAGGCAGCTGTACTTTGTGCATCTCATTATGAAAATCTCTCATAGTGGTGATGTATTGGGTTTGTGTGGCAAGGTTTTGGTAGTAGGGAGGGTACAGGGGAGGCTCCTGTGAGAAGCTGCTAGAAGTTTCCCTTGTGTCTAAGGGAGCCAATGCCAGGCAGCTGCAAGATGGACCCACTGCTGGTCAAGCCCAAGGCCATCAGCAATGGTGGTAGCGCCTATGGGATAATGTATTTAAGAAGAGGAAAAAAAAATCAGCCAGAGAGAGAAGTGAGAATACGTGAGAGCAACAGCTCTGCAGACACCAAGGTCAGTGCAGAAGGAGGGGCAGGAGGTGCTCCAGGAGCCAGAGCAGAGGTTCCCCTGCAGCCCGTGGGGCAGCCCATGGGGAGGCAGCTGTGCCCTGCGCCCAGGGAGCTCCACGGGGGAGCAGACACCCACCTGCAGCCCATGGGGGACCCCACACCAGAGCAGGGGATGCCCGAAGGAGGCTGTGACCCCATGGGAAGCCCGTGCTGGAGCAGGCTCCTGGCAGGAGCTGTGGCGCCGTGGAGAGAGGAGCCCACGCTGGAGCAGGTTTGCTGGGCAGGAATTGTGACCCCGTGGGGGACCCACGCTGGAGCAGTCTGTGCCTGAGGGACTGCACCCCTCGAGAGGGAGCATGTCATGAAGAGCTGCAGCTCATGGAAAGATCACATATGGGAGAAGATTGTAGAGGACTGCTTCCTGTGGGAGGGAGGGAGGGAAGGACCCCACCCGGGAGCTGGTGAAGCATGTGAGGAGTCCTCCCCCTGAGGAGAAAGGGGCAGCAGAAGCAACATGTGATGGACTGACCACAACCCCCATTCCCCATTGCCCTCTGTCACTGGGGGGAAGGAGGGAGAGAAATTGGGAGTGAAGTTGAGCCCAGGAAGAAGGGTGGACGGGGGGAAGGTGTTTTAAGATTTGGTTTTACTTCTCATTGTCCTACTCTGGTTTGACTGGTAATAAATTCATTTTCCCCCAGTCAAGTCTATTTTGCTCATGACGGTGATTACTGAGGGATCTCCCTGTCCTCATCTCAACCCACGAGCCATTTGTTGTATTTTTTTCTCTCCCCTGTTCAGCCAAGGAAGAGGAGTGATAGAGCAGCTTGGTGGGCCCCTGGCATCCAGCCAGGGTCAGCCCACCACAGATAATGTGAGGACATGTGGTGTATTAAATAGATTGATTTTTTTTAAAAAAAAGGAGAGAGACAGTCCCAAGAGCTGTTCGAAGGAACACATGTGTTACCCACATGCTGTTTGCTGCCAACAAATTTCCTGTCAGGCTCAGTTAGAATGAGAGTCTGATTTTCCTTGTTTCACTTTCTCTTTTTGATAAAATGAAAATTTGGGGTCCCATGAAATGGCCTTTTTAATTTTCAGGTATTTAGAAAGCAAACCAAAAGCCAAGTGAGAAGAATTCCCCCATGCTAAATTCAGGCAGATTTCAGAGGAGTTGAGGTTTTGAGGCAAACACAGGAGCTGAAACATTGCAGTCCGTAAATCCTTGAGCCAAAGGTTTCACGCTGACCTTCCCTCCTGCCATCCCAATTCTTATTTTTTCCCATCTTTCATTGTGGTGTCTGGTCACCATCCCCTTTTTGCTTCATACTCTCTGATGTCTATCAAGGTCACAGTCAAAACCCTACACCCATATGGAGCCCTGTTTTGACTGACAACCTTGTCCCCAGCAGGGCTGATGGGGCCTCCAGCCCCACCGCTGCTCCTGAAGGTCATTGCATGGTGGCAGAGTGAATTTGCGAGGAGCCATTCAACAGGAGCATTGGTCAAAACTACCTTGTTGCACGTGCCATGAGACTCGGAAGGAGCTGCAGCTTGAGCTTGAGGTCCTCCAGGCGAAGCAAAGAGCGTGCATTGTGTCAGTCCCGCCTGTGCTGCACCAGCCAAGATCTGGCCTGTTTGCTGGGAGGCACTGGCCCAGCATGGTGGGACTAAACTGGCTCCCACGGCCACCTTGGTGTTGGACGCTGAGCTTGTGTTGGGGCACAGCCAGTGCTTTCATAACAGCCTATCAGGTCTTTGAAGATCAAAAGAAAGGCAGCTCTTGTCTGAGTTTCTGGCTGGGTGACCAATGCTGGGATTCCCGCTGGTGATTCAGGCAAGTTACTCACCAGCAGCAGGGACTCATCCCAGCCCAGGGGGTGGTTGAAGCAGCTGAAATGTCCCTGTTCTGTATGAAACAGAGATGTTCATGCAGAGTGGAAAAAGGCAAAAGGCTCGTGACATTTCAAGATGGCATTTTAGCAGCTGAAGTTTCCGAGTGGATGTGAAAAGGGGTTTTTTGTTTTACCTCAGAGGTGCAAGCGGTGTGTGGGGCTCTGCAGAGCCACAGCAAGAAGGTGCAATGCTTGCTGAGGTCCCGGAATGCCCCAGCAGAGACCTGCCACCACTGCGCACAGCCTGCGGTCCGGGTGGAGTGTGTCTGGATGGCACCCCGCTCCGCTCTGCCTGGCATTACGGGTTGAGCAGCATGGGGCTGTGCTGGAGGATGAACCCAGCCCCAGCCAAGCCTGTGCAGCAGGACGCCTGGCCGGGTCCCTCCATCACTGCTGCAGCACTCAGGCGTGTGCATGCACCTGGCTCCCACCCTGTGTTCACAGGCATCCTGCTCTCCCTCCACAGCCTGGAGATGGGTGAGCCAGTGACAGGTCCTCAGGCATCCAGCCCAACTCCACAGCACCCATCATCTCGGGGGTCAGCCATTGTTTCTCATGCTGGCCTCAGGCCCATGGCCACAACACCGTGCCTGGAGATACGTGGTGCGGAGGTTTGTGAAAGGTCTGACTCACCATGATCGATAGGCTTATTCCTGGCTGCTCTCCGTGCTGTTGGCAATGTTTTCAGCTTCCGCCACTACCAGATCAAAGCAGTGAGAGGAATGCAGCTGAAAACACCTCTTTATTAGAAACAGCAGTTTTAGGACTATGCAAGAGGGTATTTCTTATTACTAATTCTCAGAGAGCTGAACTGCCAGCCTGTAAAAGTATTGGAGAGCGGAAAATTGCTATGCGGGGGCTAATGGGACTTTTGCAGTTGCCGCATAGGAAACATAGTACCTAACAAACATGAGGGAGATGGCAGCTCCTGAAATGACAGGGAAAAATTAAGCTCTAGTATTTTGCAGGCTGCCAGAACAAAGGAAGATCCCTCTTTGACTTTGAAAACCACTGGAGGCAGAGATGCAGAAAGCAGCGTCTCAGGCTGTGGCCCCTCCCTGGATCTGCTGTGGCCCTGTGCCCACCCTGCTCTGCCAGCTCTCCATCCTGCCTGTCACTGCAGCTGCCCTGCCAGTGCTCTGGGACAGTCCAGAGCCACCCCAAATCCTTGCAGCCACCCCAAGCACTGTCCAGCATGTGCCTGGGTATCTGGCAAGGGACTGTGGATCCCCAGGCTGGCTGAGCAAGGCCCTGTTATCCAGCTGCCCCTTTGCCTTTCTGATGGCTCTGTAGCTCCAGGTAGGTCCCCGAAGTGGCATGGAGCAGCAGAGTCAGAGCTGTCCTGCCAGACCCCATCCTTCAGCCCAAAGAGTCTTCATGATTTGACAGGTCTGAGCTGTGACATGACCCAGGCCACTGGCTTGTGCTGCATCTCCCCCTGTAGTGCTGGGCCAGTGGGTCAGGAGGTGGGTGGTCTTAGCTGCTTGGCTTGGCTAGGAAGTCTATCAGGATGTGGGTGGGGACTGTGGAAGCCTCAAAAGCTGGAGACTGAGCATAATGTGTTTGGAGCACATGCATGGAGAGGGCTGCAGGGCTCATAAGCTATAGAGATGTGAACTTTTTGGCTCAGACTTGTATGATTTCTCCCCAGGCAGTTTTCCTGTAGCTCAGAAGGTCGACACCCAAGTGCTGAGCACCAAGGGTGATGGGGATGCCCAAGTCACTCCAGGGCCAAGCTCTGGGGCTGAAAGGTTGCAGAGCAAAACTGTTCCCACTTCGTGTGCTGGTCTGGGAGTGCCCTCGTCTGGGGATGCGTGGCAAGTGTCTGCATTCAGGAGGTGTCATGGGTGCCCTTCTGAAGCCGAGTTGACAGAGACACATATCATTATAGAGCCAGCTTTGTCAAATGGCCCCCTTGCCCCCCAGGATGAACTTCCCTGTGTTGGGTGGAGGAACCTGGCAGCTTGC